CGATGGTTGATGTGTTTAATCACTGAGGCAGTCCTTGAGGGAAGTTATTTATATTTTTGACATGCTGCAGAAGAATGATTTGGTGGGTTTTATTCCACTGTTTGATAATGAAAACATCAATTTCTTTTGTGCAGTCACTGCATATTTAGGCAGCTCATCAACATCACACCCTTACATAAGACTCTTACTTTGCAATTGGCCTTGTTTTGATGCCGCCTCTCATTTCTTTCTTTTCATTCCAGCATCAGTTTCCTTTTATCCCTCCATCATTTCTCCTCTAGTTTCACAATAACATCAAACTTAGCCGCAAGATTCCCTCTTTTGTGTTGTGTATCCTGTCTTCCTGGCAGCCACGCCGAGGAGATAAGATGCGAGGATCGGAGCCGACTGTTTCTATAATTACCCATATAGGCTCATAGCTGCAGCTCATCACTGTCTCACAGGCTCAGCGTGTCATTTGAGCCATCTCACACACACACATGCACACACACATGCATGGGCTCTCATTACTTTGCAAGATAACAAGCTCTTACTTGCAGTATCACTGTCTCCCCTCAACACCGTGGATTCACACTTCCTTGTGTCTTTATGCAGCATTGTGGGTATTATACAAGCAATGGTTAATGCAGTATGCCCTACAACACAAGCTGTTGGTATACAGTAATTGGCCTCAGTGGGTTTATGTAACATATTCACAAAGAGATTCAACTGTGCTGTCAATGAGAGTACAATAGACAACGTTTCCTCTCTGCTACAATGCAGTGTTGCTTTTTTTGTTGCACTGAAATCAGGTCAAGTGCTGCAGTACTGCTGTTGTATACTCAAGTTAAGTAATCACGGTTTGTGTGTGTGTGTTTCAGTTTGCCCGGGTTAAGGAGAGGATGAGTGTGCAGGAGGAGCTGGACATGCTGCTATTCCTGGTGTCAGACCAGTCTCTGTCTCTGCTGCCTGAATACCACCAGAGGATCAAGGTTTGAATCAGATATTTGACTCACTGTCTCGACCGGTTTCTGTCAGGGCGATTTTAATTTTTTCTAGAATAAGGTCACTTCAGTCCTGCATAGTTTGGTTTATATATTTAAATTGAAATCTCTGACCTTAGTCTGATCTTTGAGATGATTATTTATAAATTTTGTTATTTTTAAAGCATTTACATTTAGGCCTAATAGCTTATCGTTAAAAGCAGGGATATCAAACTGCTGGCCATCATCATATTGGGATTCCAGATGCACTTAATTCATTTTCATTATTTATTAACCTTGCAATATTTTTTTTGACTAATTGATCAGGCAATCAAATAATAAATGAAAATTCTGAAAACTTCCCATCACAGTGTCCCTGTGGTTCAGGGTTTAAGGTGCCGGACCAAACATGCTAGCATGCTAACATGTGCTTATTAATCCAGATAAAAGTACAGTTGAGGATGGTGGGGATGTTATGTTTTTGGACAACTGAAATATTTGACCTGATGATGGCGCTAGATGAAACATTAAGTCACAAAATATTTACAAATTACATTCTAGATCAGTATTCCTATAATTTGTAATATTTATTTATTTATTTAATCCATTAATTAAAGCTTGACTATATTTTGTGATAGAAATTGTTGTTTTTTGTGACCATTGAGTAAATTTGAGTTAATAGATGGGACAGAAGAATATGATTCAGGCAAGATTTTTTGATTGAGTAGAGTAGTATTTTAATTGAATTAGAACCTCTATTGATCCTGAGCAAACACTCTAAGAGGTTTATTTCCCCACCGGTCTGCCCCAGGTGCTGCAGTCCCTGTCGTATGTCGACAGCAGCGGGGCGGTACAGCTGAAAGGCCGCGTCGCTTGTCAGATCAGCAGCCACGAGCTGCTGCTGACCGAGCTGCTGTTCGAGAACGTCCTGAGCCCGCTGGCGCCCGAGGAGAGCGCCGCCCTGCTGTCCTGCTTGGTCTTCACGCAGAACACGCAGGTGGAGCCGCACATTACCAACACACTGCAGGAGGTAAGAAGGAAGTGGGATTTTTGTTTAGAAGGTGAATTCTTGCTTGTAACTCATGAAAAGTTATTAAAGCGACAGGATGTGTGTGTACTGACATACTGTACAAACTCTAGGGGTGACTCACACACTCACACACTGTCGCTCTCATGTTTTATTACACTGTGCTTGCGCTGATTTGACGTGTAACTTCCTCGCCCCGCAGAAAAGACAACAAGGACACTTCACCTGACTCACCCCAGTCACTCACTCACTCACTTATTTATTCATTCTGTCTCTGTTGAATTCGCCTTTGCCGTGTCAGAGTGACCTGCCTCTGATACATGAAAGTGCTTTACGAGCGACTAAATTAGTGATGACCCAAGCTCCGTAGACCTACAATAGGAGAGCAGTTTGTGAAACAGATTTCTGGAACGTAAATGACAAGGTCACCCTGTTAACAACAAGAGGCGAGAGAGAGAGAGAGCGATGCATTCAAGGGCCGCCTGTAAAACTAAAATTTCTGTCGTCCAGGCTTAACTTACTCTTTCCCACCTGTTTTCCACATCTCTCTCCTCTGTGTGTGTGTGTGTCACTGCCCTGATGCCTGTTTCCCTCCCGTCTCTCTTTCAGCGCCACGAACTCGGCGTGCCCCGTCCCTCCACCCCACCGGCCGAGCCCGGCAGAGGCATATCAGCGGACACCCCACAGACCCCCTGAAGGAAGCTCTTGCATCGGCCCCAGTTCACACCGTTTGCCCCCTGCAAGACCGGTCGGTGTACTGCTCGCGCCAACCGACGGCCCATCCGATCACGGTCTTCAACCTCTTAAATCCGCTTGACACCTGGAGGCATCTGGCCTGCCCCTACCAACTGGTATACTCCCAAACACCTGCAACCATCCCTGCTGCTCATTCCAGTGCTCCTTAACCCCATCCAGGACCTCCACTCGCCTCTACTCTAACTCAACCCGCGCTCAATTCACCTCCCTGTCCTATCAGGGGCCACTCTGCACCAACTGAAAACCAGCTCGTACCCTACCTCACAAATGCACCTCGCCTATCGTACGCAGTAGCCTCTCTACCCCCCAAGCCAGGCCCTGTCCACACACCCTACCTCCGGATCTCACTGCACTCGCAACCCTGTCAATGGTGTTGAATCAACATGCTTCTGTCAAGCACCTAGAGTTCAAGGCCAGCATTAACAAGTGTTAATGCAAAGGCATGTGATCAGAGGTCAATATTAAGATAATGTATTAAGATTAAAGCTGCAGCTAACGAGTACTTTAATCATCAAGTAATTGGCCAATTCTTTTGTTGATTTATAGCAAAAAAAATGTTGATCCCAATTTCCAGAAGCCCAAGTTGATTTCAGTTAACAAAAAGTCTAAAACCCAAAGTTATTCAGTTTACTATAATACAAGACAAGAAGAAAACAAGCAAATGAATGAAATGATTAATCAGTTATCAAATTGTTGCAAACTGTTAACTAATAAGATAAGCCGACTAATAATTTTAGCTATAATTAAGACACCAGGTGTAAATGTGTAAAGTCAGAGTTACTATAAGGTATTTCCTAATTTATTTTTCTAATGGAATCTGCCCTACAGTTGAATAATTCCCTTCAACCTCACGTTACAATCATTGCACAAAAGACATTTTTCCCAGCAGCCATTTTGATGTGAAACAGTAGGGAAAACACAGGTGTTACTAATGACACTAATTAAGGTTCTGTACCATTCAGGACCAACAGAGCATGTTGTCTCTCTGGAAAGGCTCTGCTAGACTAAATGAAACAGGACCTAGAGAACAAAGAATAAACCAGTGATTTAAGAGAATAAATCACTCGTATGTGTCACACAAGAATGAATCTGTCCCTGGTTCTTGCATGACTTTTATAGTTTCTTATAGCAGAAGCACGATTTGTCTCCCTTTCCTGTTAATCATCTCAAGGCCTGTCAGGTTTATCTTGTGGCCCCGTACTCAGCCACACAGTATTCAGTTCTCATTTGCCACACTGTGCGAGATCTCAAAGCTTGAATGTAGGCTAGTTTTGTCTGCCTAATGATGTATTCATTACAAGCTTTAAATGATTTTATTGTTTGAAATACTTTCCCCGCTTGTGTTCCACCATATCTCACCTCTCCCTGGTGCCATCCCTCCCCTGTCTCACCCCTGCCGTCCCCATCACAGCCGTTCGCAGAGATCGCCCTGCTCACAGACGTCCAGGAGGGCACGGTGGTCCGCTGCATCCAGCGCCTGGACGAGGTGCTGAAGGAGGTGCGACAGGCCGCCCGCATCGTGGGAGACTCCGTCCTGGGGAGCAAGATGGAGAAGGCGTCCCTGGCCATCCGCAGGGACATCGTCTTCACCGCCTCCCTCTACACCCACTGAGAGACGGAGGGAGAATGATGCCGAGATTGCCTGCAGCCAAGTGCTTCTTTGTGTGAAAGGTGTGAGAAAGATGGAGATATATGGGGGAGGTAAAGAGATGCTGTATGTTAACAAATGCTGTATGTGCCTACAAAACATTGCTGATGTTTACATGAAAATTCCTGACTGTGAAAAAGGGAATGATTTTAACCAACAGACCAAAATACAGACTGTGTGCGAATGAACATTAAAACCTGCATTGTAATTTATTGTACAGTAATAAAACCCTGTATTCCAAAAACATAACGCAATGTCCTTTTTTTATTAAACATGTATATTATTTAAAATGATAAGAGATCAAATAAAATGTTTGCTTTTCTCCTGACTTCCTGACATCCTGTTAACAAACTCCTGCAGGAGAAAATCATCCGAGGACAACATGCATGAGAGGACAAAACTGAGGTGGTGAAAATGCCACGCAAGGAGAGAAAATGCGTGGTTTCTTTTGTGGAGCTGTAATGGGATGTTCCAGCACAGTGCATGTGCGTCCCCCCCTCCTAGTCTGGGCTGTCGCTTTAAGACAACGATAGCTTTGCGTCTGATTAATTCAATGTACGGCGAGCGTTAGTGGAGAAACCTTATTAGACTTTGAGCCACACAGAGAGACAGAGGAGGAAAATACAGCACAGCCCTGCGCGCTGGAAAGATAAATGGGCTTTATCTTGATTTAAAATATAATTAAAAAACAAAACCACCCTTAGTTATTATCATAAATATACAGGGGGTGATATATATATATTTTTTTTTAAAAGATGAAGACATCTTGAGGATGGGTTGCACGCGTTTGGAGTAAAAGTCTGCATCATCGCGCACGGAAAGGAGCGATTTTCCCCACCAGCTGGAGTTGAAACATCCGATCAGAGGAGGAGGACAGAAGATGTCGTCGGAAAAACACGGTGAGGTGTTTTAATTAAAACGTGTCGTGTTTTTTTTTTTTATTGGGAAGCCTAATTGGCAGCCTAATTGAGCCACTTCTTAACAACCCCCACTGAGATGTAAGAATTTTGGTTATTCTTATTTACGGACATCCGTCTGTTTGATGCGCGGATTCATATCAGGCTGACGGGGATCTTTTTTTTTTTTTTTCCTGTCATCTGCATCTCCATCCGCTGTTTATCTGCACAGCGCTGTTTCTATAGGATGATGCACCGCTGTGTGGGTGCAGCCTAGTGGGGGCAAAAAAAAAAACACCACCATAGGGCCTCTTTATTACATCTATTGTGCTCAATAGAGAGTTTAAAGTGACATTATCAGACTTTATGTGGTTGATATCTATCTAAAGTCGTGTATTGTCAGGATTGTATTTATTTTCCTGCTTAATAAATGAAAGCACTCCCTGTGATGTTTGTATAAGAGGCTACTTTACGGTTTATGATGGATTGATTGTTATTTTTCTCTTTGTGTGTGTGTGTGTGTGTGTCTCATTACCATCATTACGCACAGGCCTACGTACATCTCTCCCGACTATAGACATTAGTGTGGGTGTCCTCTGCGCGTGCACGCCTTCACGTGCGCGCGTGTTTAACAGCCTTAATTAATAATCCTCAATGTCTGCTGTACTAAAAATAAACATTTCTGACTCGTTTTTTCCCCGGTTTTCTCTGCCATTCTCTTAAAGCTCAGTGTATCTTGCCAGTGTTAAAATATGAAAGAATAAAAGGTCATAATGAAACCCCAGAAAGTTGCCACTGTTACTGGACAGGAGACCGCGGGTTTGAGCTGTAAACGTGACTGCTGTCTCGTGTTTTAATTAAGTGTGTGTGGCTCCATTATCCGGAGATGAACGACAGCGGTCCTGTAATGTTATTTATGAGCATGCAGAAGCATTGATGTTGCAAATGGACTGAGTGGGAATTATTCTGGTTCATGTAAATTCAGCAATGTTCAGTTGAAATTATATTCTTATTATTTTAAAGCCATTGTGGGAGAGGAAACCAGCTGTATTAATTATCCCCTTAAGGCCCTTTTATGTCTAAATACAGGCCCTATTTCATCATTTTGTCACACTAACTGTTCTGCCAGGAACAGATAACTGAAATATTACATAAAACGTTTTTATACAAGTTACTTATCATCAACAAAATGTCTCTAATCCTGTTCTTCATTATGTAATTGTTACTAATAATTAGGTGACTCACTCCTACTCTTCACAGCTGGATTGAGACAACAGGCCTTTGAGGCAAATTTTGGCCACACGGTTGTGAATAAAACTGACTGGACTTGTCAAACACGTGAGCAGTGGTGGAAGAAGTACTTTTTTTGCTGGGCTTTTATTGCCTTTAATCGATAGTGACAGCTGAGGAGTGGAGATTGGGAGGATGAAAACCAGGTGAGCTACCAGGGCGCCTCATCACAGTCTTTACTCTAAGTAATTAAGTATTAAGTAAGTAAGAGTACAAATACCACACACAAACCTTACTTAAACGTATTATCAGCAAAATGTACTTAAAGTAATCCTATTAAAAGTAAAAGTACTTATTATGCAGTGAAATGGTCACTGTCAGTGTTTTACTATGATATCTGACGTGTTTGGATTAATATTACTGCTGCATTAATTTTTCATTTTACTGTTGTTTGAAGTTGATAGTTACTACTTCATGTACTGTTGGGTAATCTAATCTCCAATAATTAAAATTAATTGTCATATTTGTAGCATCGCTGTCCTGTGGTAAGCATGTATCTCCAAAAAGTAAACTTTTTATAAGAAAAACAGCCCTGTTGTTTTCAGCTTTGTGACAATGCAAATCCAAGAGGGTTTTTAAATAGTTTATTTATCTTCAGAAGTAGAAGGATTTCCTCAAACCATAAAGGAACATTTCATCCTTCAGTTCAAGAAAAACATTCAAAATCACCAAATAAGGGCAACTCTGGTAGCTCACCTGACAGAGCTGGCACCGTATGAATCCAAACTGCTCCCATCGTTTGGAGTCTGACTTGTGGACCTCAATTTCGAATTTAAGTACAGTACTTGAGTAAATGTACTTAATTACATTGCACCCCTCTACATGTGTACATAATAACCTTCATAAGGCTACATAACTTGTAGGTGAGGCTACAGTATTTTGCACTCTGGCTAACTGGATGTAGCAGAACAGTTAATGTTATTAGTAACACCTGAGCTTTTCCTGTTACTATGACTCAAAATGTCTATAGTTGCTTTTTAGACCAAACAAGAAAAGTAGTTTTCATTTGTTTTGGTTGATGTCAATGGTTAATGTGTAATAACATCATGGCTAGACTTGGAGCAATAGTGACTGTTAGCTCGCTTCTTAACAGTGAGTTCACAAGTAGTGAAAAATGTGTAATTATACACCTGCTATTTAGTCTTAAAAAATTAAAGCGAGGAGCAGAAAGCAACTGTTAAATTACCTCTAAAAAGATCATTTTACTACTTAATAATGAGACCTGATATCTGTTAGTGAGTTAATAACTACTTTAATCCATCCATCCATTTAACTCTGGCAGCTATGAGGCATTTTTTTGTATATTTGCTGCCAAAAAAGTCCATCACTCTCTAGTTTTTCTCCTGTTCAGTCCTATCTTGACAGATTTTGGAGTCTGCAGAATTAAAATATAGAAACACCAACGTGAATTTTTCTTGCTGCCAAGCTGCTCGTCACTTCACGCCATGACCTTTTAAAGGTATCCCTTCCCTCGTTCTCGCTCCTCTCCCCTCTGTCTGTTTCTGGTCCAGTTCCTACTTGTGACAGAGTTTGGGGTCTGTTACGTAAAGCCGCTCCCGGAGCACAAGTCGTCATCCCTCATCACTCACACTGCTCTGCTCTCCGACTGCCTCCTGCTCTCCTTCTTCTGTCCTATCAAAACCTTTACTCCTCCATCTTCACCTCCATCTATCTCCATCTCTCTTCCTCGTGTCCCTGTCAGAATGGATTACTGCGCCCTCCCCGCTGTGAAAACACGACACCCTATCAGTCATTTTCAATGTTAAGCAAACTCAAAGGGAGCAGAGGTGTGAGCATAAAATGTTCCAACGTCCAAAAGCAGACAGATGCTTCAGACAGACAGACCATCAGATGAAGTTCTGCATCTCAGAAATGCCACATTTCTAACTGATAATAAAACGTCTTCTTTGAAAGGAGAAAGAGAGAAAAAGGTTTCTTCTCACGGAGGTGAAAATGTCAATCACTGTCATCATTAGCAAAACAGGCTGCACAGGTTTTCTCTCTGAGTGGATGCTTGTTGAGGAGCTGTGGTCTGTGTAATTGCCCCCCCGTCAGTGAGATAAGACATATTCAACATGCAGACAAATGTGCTGTAACAGTGCATGGTTAGATAACATGCCCTCAGTCTTACATCTGTTTCTTTTATTGTTCTTCCTCTGCTTTTTTCTATTTGTGATTCCTCTCCTGCCTGCTTTCTTCTAACCTTTCCTCCCTCTTTTTTCTTCTTTCTTCGTCTCTCAGGTCTCGATGACTCTGGCCGTCAGACCATGCAGCCTCCTCCGTACCTCCCGGGCCCACAAGACCCTAACGTACCCCAGCACCCCAACATGCAGCCTGCGCCGGGCACCCAACCCAACTATCCTCCTCCACCTCCTCCTCCGGGCTCAGATGGATATCTTCAAGAAACCCAGTTCCACTGCGGCCCGCTGGGTCCGCAGGGGGCCCCACAGGGCTACACAGTCCAGACCCAGGGCCCCGGAGGCGCTATGACTCACGCCCCTGTCGGCTACCTCCACCCGGGCTACCCGCTTCAGCTGCAGCCTTGCACAGCTTACGTACCCGTCTACCCCATGGCATCGGTGAGTCAGAGATGAGATTTCACAGGTCTGACATCAGGCTGCTGCAGAATTACACCAGACTCTGGTTCAATATATTGTATATTTCTTTCCACCTCGTGTCACAGATTGTGGTTGTTATGTTTTTTCATCCTAAATTTACAGATTTGATGGATGAAAGTGAATTTTGTTAACACTTTATTTTACAGGTGAAAGTAAAATTATTTACTGCCACGTTTCTTGGAAATAACTATGTAATTTGGTACTATTAAAGGGAGAAGACCGACAGTGTTCTGTGTTAATTTGCATGAATTTGAAGTCAGGTTTCCTTAAAAGAAAAGTAATCTAAGTAAATAAAATGTCCACTAATTAGCCTGCATTATGGCAACTGCTGGATATTTTTATCAATCAAACTCTCTTTTCTCTAGAACTAGTACAAAATAATGCATACACAACTAGTGTAAATGCTTTCCAGGAAATGTACGAGAAAAATAACAGACCCATAAAAAATAGTGTTACCTGGTGTATGTTTTCTAATTTATACATTTGCATATCACGCTTTTACCTCAAAGACACAAAATGTGGCAGCAGCTTACAATTTTAGGCAACTTTTAGATATATTTTTTTATCATTAAAATTACATAAAAGAGAGAAAATGTCTGAAACAGCTCCCTTGGTTGACTGGCTTTTATGTATTTATTCAGTTATTTTGGGACAGAGGGATTCTTAAGCATACACAGTAGAACCGTCACTGAATAGATTAACACCACATATCATTGCATTTTTAGCCCAAGCTAATTTCCAATTCCTGAATGGGTTTTTATTTAAAAAAGAGTACATTTACATTGGATTAAAAATATGTCTGAGCCTCAAGCTTTTTGATTAGTCAAAAGGGCACTGCATTGCTTCATTGGGTTTGCAGTTTTCTGGCTGGTAACAGGAAATAGGAAAATACAGAATCTGACATGAATTAAATTTGCTGACTGCAACTGAAGCCTGCTCAGCTGCTAGAAGGATGATTAAACTATAATCATTTTCAGTGATGTCCTTGAGCATTTAGTGTGCCTTGGTGGTCTTGAGTAGTGGTTCCCAACCAACGAGGGGTTTGTCGGACCTTGTTGCAAGGCTTTTTCTTGAGTGCAAAAAGAACTTTAAAAAACATACACTAGGCTTAGATCTCAGCATTTCATTCATGTCTGTTAAGAAAACAAAATTAAATTGTTTAGATTATTATTTAAGTTATGCGTTTAATATAATGTGAAATATTCATAAAATATGTCACTTAGTCAGAGGTCGTCAGTTTACTCAATGATAGAAAAGGGCTCCCTTAAGGAAAAAGGTTGGAAACTACTGAACTAGAATCACCTCTTCACATCCGACTGGGGACATCTGTCTCATGTCATTCCCCTGTCTCTCCCCTCATTTCCTCTCCATCTCTCTACTTCTAGATAGCTATTAAAGGCATACAATTACCATAACAATGATAAAAAGATCAAGAAGGCTTGATTGGTCTTTGGTTCATAGAAATAATTACCATGGGGGTTGTGAGCAGGCATTGTCTTGTTGTAAACAAGCCGGTTGTGAACCAATGCCCAATCCAATTTGTACCCTTATTTTATTCATTAATTTATTCATTTTGTACAATATAATTGGTTTTGGAGTTATAGCTACATATGTTTACACAGTAGTAGATGAAACCATCCACACTAGACCCTGAAGTAAACTAGAAGTTGTGAAATAAGCCCCAAAATGTGATTGTGAGTCATCAAGCAACTGCAACTGCTTTTGTGATACCACAAATCTCACCACCATGTGTACTGAACTGTAAACCATAGCTGAGGTTTATCATCAGTCTCTTTTAATAAAACAAAATACTTAAAGAATATCATTTATGTTTGTGTGCATACATTATTGTATGCACACATACATTTCCATTTTTTTTACACTTCCTGCCACGCTGCTGATAAATGTTAGATATGCATGAGTCTTTAATGCATGCAGATGTAATACTGTCCTCCTCTTTGACTGTGTCACCTTGTTCCGGTGTGTTTTGGGTGGAAAGTGCTTTGTAAGCTGCTCTACAACAGCTCTAATACTTACTCTCTGTCTTCTTCTTGTCCTCTGCTCAGGGTCAACCTTACATGCCAGCCGGGGGAGGCCACCCAGGGATCCCACCGGGCCAGATTCATCCCATGCAAATGCCACCCAGCATCACCCTAATGGACCGTCGACCGCCACACGACTACCTGCCCATCGCCGTGCTCACCACCGTCTGCTGCTTCTGGCCAACAGGCATCATTGCGATCATCAAAGCAGTGCAGGTTAATGGCACTTTATAACATCTTTTGATCTTTGAGTTTTATTAACATAATGTCGTCTTCACCAGGGACTTTGTCATGTAAATGCCTCCAAAAGTCATTTTATATTCAGAACTGTACTTGCCTTTTAGAATGACATTGTGATAACACATTTGCAGTATGCTGAAAAGGAGAATACTATAAATCACGCTTATTTTAGTCACATTAAGACTGAGTCTTTGCGGAAAAAACCTTGTGGTCACTAGGGGTGGCGCTAGGGATGGTTCGCTACACCACTTTGGTCCAGACTGTATGTCCCCCTCAGGATGAATTGTAAAGATTCATTCATTCATTCATAAACCCTAACCCTGCCCACCAGGCTGCTGCTAACGTTAGTTCAGCTTGTTTCTCTGATAACTTAAGACGTCAGATGGATAAATTCCTTCATTCATTTAACATATATAGTTGAAAATGACCAAAAAATGTGGCTTAAAATTGCATAAAAAGTCAGTTTATGACAGTAATGCTCAAAAAGGATATGACGCCATTGACACACGAGCGGTAAAACACAATGTTACCCAAATACCCCAAAAAATTACAGATTTGAACATTGTTGGACACATTCGGGATAGTATAAGTACACAACTCAAGAAAATATATACCATAGATCTACTGTTCATAGGCATTTTACTGCGGAAATGTTACATCTTCAAAAGTTTGCTCTTTTACAAGCCTTTCACTGATGCTAATTTAACACACAAGTTAAATTGAGTGTGATGTTAGAAATGTAAAGGCTCAGTCTGGTGGCTCTTGTTTGCCCCTGTAACACCAGACGCACAGACCAACATGCACACAACAGTCCACATTACGTAACTGCACCATTGTCGGTGCAACGGGATAGAATGGATTTTTTCCTCTGGGCCTGCTCAGCTGGCTTTGAGTTGAGTTGAGCTGACAAGGCATGGACCCACCGGTCTGAGCTGTATATGTTGTTATGGTGTGTTAATGTTGTGTGGAGTGGCCTCTTTCTGCACATTCAGGCTGCGCTGCAGTGAAATCGATCCATTCATGCTGTTTTAGACTCTCTCCTGCTCCCACTCGTGCATCTTCTTGTTACATAAGTTTTATTCTGATTTCTCCTCTCTCCCACACACCCATCCCCTCCCTCTTGCATCACTTAGGTGCGTACGGCGATAGCCAGAGGGGACATGGTGACAGCGGAAATAGCCTCCCGCGAGGCACGCAACTTCTCCTTCATCAGCCTGGCTGTTGGCATCGCCTCCATTGTGCTGTGCACCATCCTCACCGTGGTAGTCATCATCGCCTCGCAGCACCACGACGACGACTGGGAGCCGTAACTCCGCGCAGTGTCAGACAGATGGGAAATCATGGCATATATTAGCTAGCTAACTACTCTCGATCGTTTGGAGGAAATAGGAGCACTGAACATGCACACAAACTGCTACTGCATTGCTGGCCCTCTGTGTACAGCTACACACACAGCTCTGACCTAACCTGCTGCCATCAAACATACACCGACGACCAAAAAAACAACCAATCGCAGCTGATGTTCAAACGCCAAATACGAGCAGCTGTCAAATGAGGTCCAGTATTGCTGTTAGCACAGCGACCGCTTAATATTTACACTGAGATATGAGCTGCAAGAGGGAAACAAAGCTCCTTGCATTAACAATTCATTTGACGCTGATTAATTCATACGGAGGATGTAGTTAGATGAGAGGATGGGTCACTGTGTGTTTCAGTTTTACATATTCCAACAACAAAACCTACTAAAAGTTCATTTTTAGGATAGTTTAATGCACATTTTAGTCTTAAAAGTACAAGTATTTATGTGTTTTCTTCTTTAAAAACAAAAAAAAAAGTGCCATGTTGAAAACTGTTGATTTACAGAGTGCTATTATTGCTGATACACTTGGAAAAGAGACATTTAAAGTGTTAGAGGGGGTGATCAATACACATTTAACACACCAAATGGAGACTGGAGTGACAGAGCGTCTAATGTAACCAAACACAGAGTATTTATTTGAGATTGGTTGTTTGTATGTTACATGGACATTTAAGCTGGATGAGATGATACATAATTTATGAATTATATGTTTGCTAATTTATTTAAAATATGTTATTTATTAATTTATTCAATATCTACCCATGTATTGACGGAGTCTGCTATAATTTACAGTATATCACTAGTTTATTGCAGCTATCTGACTTTAAAATTGGCTTAAATTTGCTATCTGATGATGATGATATTGCACTTTTTGGTGACCAGATGAGATGACGCAGTTGCTTACATTCATAGTTCTTGTAGTGCATGATCAATATAAATTTAATGGGCTAATGGGCGTCTAGTGCAAAAATAGCTTGTCTCCCAGCTGTTGGTGGGAATATCTCCTAAAATGTCTAAAAGTGTGTGGTGCAGTATTTTTCAAAATGTCAAACAAGCTACTGTCAAAACAAGAAAAGGAGACAATTTAAGATAAGTATTTGAATATTAATTTAGCAAATATTGTTTTTTCGCAAGTATTTTACAAGCGTATTGGCCTATTTTGTGTTGCACATCTCTTAGCTATTTAATCAAGCAGACACTGTATATGAAACTTAAGTGCAACGTTAGACTTACGAGGCAACAGAACCCTGCATGTCATCCTCAGTTTGTTTCCATTTGTCTTAAATATTGCGGCTGTGAGCTCCTGTAACGTTGTTCCACCGTTGAGTCAGGGTTCACCCCACATGGTTTCCATAATGTAGCGTAGCTCTGAGCAGCAGGTGTGCTGTTGTTTTTGTAAGAGCCGTAACATTACAGTATGAACTATTGTGTGAGGTTGCTGGAGTTATGGGAGGACTGAAAATGAATGTTTTCAATAGGAGAGAGGGAAAATATTAATGCCTACACTGTATTGTAGCACTTTCTCGCTCTATGATATCTTTCCTCTGGTCCCCTTTCTTTTTGTCTTTTCTCCTGTCCACGTGAGCTATTGGACCTATTAATATATCCCCTCTGCTCCTCTGTTGGTCCCTCTGATGATGCTATTTTTAAAACAATAATACAGAGATATTAAAAATTATGAAAATTGTGTTTGTTGACAATGAACACGAATAGAGGCAGTATAAATACAGTTTATTCTGTAGTTTATATATTATTATTATTATTAATGTTGCTTTGGATTATCACTAATGTATAATATTATGTACATTGAACACATCTGGGCCTGTATTTATCAAACATCTAGAAGCCAACTTAGTAGTTAAAGTGTGAAGAATAAGTGATATATATATATATATATATATATATATATATATATTTTAACATATTAAATCTGGATTTGGATGAACAGCTTACAAGAAAGCAGTAGCTATAAATAATAGGCTAACTATCTACATTTTGATAGATAGTTATTATTCTTAAAGCAACAGACTTAGACTTCCATGAAAAGATCGATACCGCTCTCCGGTATGATTTAGTTTAACTCTCGGCAAGAAAGCATAAATAAGCATATTCCCCAAAATGCAACGATTGTAAAAGTACAAGTACTGATATTTTTGTACAATACTGAGTACCGATATGAGCAGTAAATAATGCCATTACAATCCCAACAATGACTTTGAAAGCATGTTTTATTTTTGCTCACTTTCTGACTGTAACAAATTAAATATTTTACTTGTTGTAAAACAAGTACGTGAGGTCAGTATCGGACATAATATCCCATACAGGTATCGGTGCATCCCTACTGTATGGATAAATACAGGCCCTGTCCTTAAATGATTTACACAGTGATATGGCAGTGTTAAATGAGTAAATGAAGCACAGTGCTGTTTAGTATTATTATTGTACAGAAGGCTCTGGCAGTGAGTGTGTGTCTACTGTACTGAATAGAGTCACTCCTAGCATATCTAGTTCATAGCAGAGTTTATAGGCTGCATCTCCCTGCGTGCTTTCTGATAGGACTTTTCTGTTCTCAGCGACATGAACCGTAGCTGTTTACTACATAGCTGGGAGATGTGTTCCTCATTTTATTTTCATTTCTTGTTTTCTTTTCAGTTTTCTTTTTCGAGCTTGTAAATGCGGGTTGCTTGTTCAAAGAGCCAAAAATTACCTGTGTACATGTGGTTCTGTTGGGGTTTATTACTATAATTATGTTCATGGCTGTGTTGCACATGCATTGGTTGTTTTCTGACTTCAGTTGTTTGAGTAATGAATAAAAGAATAATTTTGGGTTGTGAAAGATATACGTTGGCGAAGGCGGCGTCTCATTCTATGGTTTGTTTTTCACCTCTCAGTCTCTCTCCATCCTCTCAGTCTCTCTGTGGCCTTCCCTCTCTCCCCTCATCAGTAAGGTGCTATTTATAGTTGCCCCGGTTTTCTCCCTCTCCGTCTCTCTTTTTCCTCTATGTCAGAACATGAACTACAGTATCTCTCACTATCACTATCCTGTGCTTAATCACATAAGGTCTTGCAGGTTTGTGTTTTACCTTGTGGTGGCGATTGCTTTTGTGCCTCATCTGTACCACATAAAGATTATCATGCCTTCCCATCCAGGCAGCTTAAATTGTACAAATTTAAGCATACTACAGCATTTTACATTGACATTCATAGCAGGGGTGGAGCCAGACGCTGTAAGCAATCACGGTTTAGCCCAAACCTAAAGGAGTGCCGGGGCATGCTACACCGGGGAGATTTCTTTCCCATTTAATGCAGCAATATTCATTATTTTACGAGCCAGTTGCAATGATAGAATGCCTAAAAATCTGTACATCGTTTGGGAAAAAAAACACAATAGTTGCCCAGGAAAGAAATCATTATCAGTGTCTGCAGCCGTTTTCTGAGCATCCAGTCCAGGGCAGTACGGCTGAGCTAACTAGCTAAGAGCAGCTACATTTTGCAGCAGTTTACTTTACTGTCCATCAAGAAACCACCAAGTAAATCACAGAGAGTTGAGGCAGAGCAGCCGGAGGACATCAGAGGGAAATGCAGAAAACATCTTCTCCATAAAATATGAACCAGTCTCAGTGATATAGTTGGTGGTGTGTGACTTAGTGCCACTATGTTCACCAGTTAGTCTTTATTTGGTGCTGAGCAGGTAGTGTACAGTGTGGGTTTTGGAGGTTTTTCACTGAAAACTCACACCATGAGAGCGGTGAGAGTGAACCAAAACAGTGAAGCTGCAGGCTGGATAGCTAAACAATGATCTGAAACTCACCATAAATCTCTGTAAAGCAAAGGGCAGCTGCAGATTCACATTGTTTTCACATTAATTGATGCATTGTTATTATATAAAATATCTATTATCAATGCTTTAAATAATACATGTTAAAAGGTGAAGTATGGGCCAAACAGGCCAATGGAAAACAAGTTGGAGAGAGAAACTAAAGGTGGGATCAGAGCCAGCCTGTGTGTGCAGGATCACAGATGGCCCTTTAGCCTCCTGAGGAGACCCAGCATCTCTGAGATCATTTAACTTGGCCTCACGCTGCACGCCACTCTCCTCCATCACACAGTCCCAGCTTCCCCTGGGTCAGCCATGCTGACTGTCTCGCTGTGTGTGTTTGTGTCATCCTGCAGCTCTCTCGCTGGGCTGTCATCTCAGCCGCAGCATCAGGACTGATGGGTAATGGCTGGTAATATGTAATAATGGTGGGAAGTAAAACCCAGCCTCCTGCAAACACAAATGCATAGATAACTAATCCACCTACACACATAGAACCAAAGGTGTGAGAACAACAACAAACGTGGTTTTGTGCTTCAGCTGCTGCTGACATTTGAGATAATATAGCCTGGAAACTAAAGCCAATGATTCATGTTAACCCTCTTTCAGCATCATTACACACCTGCATCAAGGGGAATCTCTTTCTTTCCCTGCGTGCTTCCTCTGTGTTTCTCTACACGCCACTTGTCAAACCCCCAATCCGTTACTTAAAGGATGAGTGTGTAGGATTTAGTGACATCTAGCGGTGAAGTTTCAGATTGCAACTAAGTGAATACAGCTCAGCCTTCCAAGAATGTTGGTGAAACTACAGAGCCAGGTAATTTGCAGACAGTGATTTAATTTGAAAAGTAACTCAAAACTATAACTGTCAGGTAAATATAGTAGAGTGAAAAGTACAATATTTCCCTCTGCAATGTAGAAGTATAAAGTAGCGCAAAATGGAAATACTCTAGTAAAGTACAAGTACCTTAAAATTGTACCTAAGTACAGAACTTGGAATGTACTCGGTTACTCTCAACCGCTGCCTTCAGTTCATCCACAAACACTGTAGCCATTTTTCAAATTCAATCAAAACATAAGAATCAATATTTTTTGTTTGTGCAAATAATTTAAACAGCAGTAACTAAGGCCTTGGCTGTGTACAGCAGTACAAATATTGTTTTACAGCAGCTGGAATAGACCTCATTGTGTTCTCAGTGTAACAGCATTTGGCAGGGTGCAGAGATCGCTGGGACCAAATGGACCAGGATGTGCAAACACGGAGCGGTGTGAAAACAGCAGCAGGGGTAGCCTGCAGGCTGGAAAAACAGTCTTAAAAACACATATATCAGGAGCGTGAAGCTCCAAACACGTCCTTTATTTGATAAAAATGTCCTTGAACATGTAACCCAATCCATGTGTGCTTCTACTTGTTGGTTTTCCTGTTCAAGACCGTGTGCAAAGCAAAAGTCTTTTTTGAGTGTAGTCCACCAGTTCCATGTACAGGCGTCCTGGTCTGACAGCTCTCTTATCGAAGGATCTTCTTTTTGATGTACTGGCAGAGGCATAAAGGGGCGGTGGTACAGTGATTCCTCCGGGGACGTAGGCGGTGGTGTGATGGTCCAGTCAGCCTCTCAGACACGAGCAGCTTCACATAAGCTGCACTGTAAGTTATCAGAAGCTGGTAGGCTTTAGCCTGAAAAACAAGAACACTTAGAAGTTAACAATATTACCTGTATGGAGAATAATACAGTAAAGATTGGTGGTGGTACTGAAACTATCTAGAGTTTTGATCTTGAAGAATTTTCTGAATGACTCTTCCTTATCTTCCTGAAGATTATCTTTATCTGCATATTTTCTTATCACTTTATAAGATAACAATAATCAATTGGTTAATTGTGTTTTGTATAAATCATCTCAAGGCAATATGATAGCTGGAGTTTCTTCTCTCGAATAAAAAACGTAGGTTGGTTATTTTTTCCTAATGCAAAACATTTATATTCTCATTTCAGAGATCTTTTTGTGGCCAAAGGTGCTCAAAAATATGAAATATAAACGATAAATACCTGCTATTTCCAAATATATTTTAAAATACTGAATAGCAGAAAATAAAATCTTTTCACTGGCTTTTCAAATGTCTGGACCAGTCAAAGGTCACTAAAAATATATTTTTTGAGAAAATAAAGCTACTTAAACATATTACATAAACAAACTTTGCAAACTTTGCAATGACTTAAATGTGTTTATTCAAAAGTTGTAATAAAGATTAAATTTTGTTTTTTTGTTTGTTAGATTTTGTTCTTTTTTCATCCCCCCCCCCATATTGTGTTCAGTAAAGTTCCTAACTAACAAACTACTATTAAAAAAACTCACCAACTAACTTAACTGAATTATTCTAAAGAACAGCATTAAGAAAACAAAGGTCTAGAAACCATAAAACCCTTATAACACATTTATTGATGCATTTTACAGGCACTAACATGTCTTTTTACATCTTTTTACATGTTAATTCTGATGTATCTATAATAAAATAAGACCACTGATATATTGATCAGGCTCTAAAATAATTTCCCTCCGCATGGGAACTAAAGAGTCTCTTTACCTGAGCAGGTAACGATGCATCAGGGATGAGGCTGTAGTTCTTGGTGACTTTGGCGTCCTCCCGCTGGCTGGATGAGGTACTGTAGCCCGTGTCCTCATTTCCCAGCAGCGGCCTCTGTTCATCTGAGTTCTGCTCCACATCTGACTCATCAACCTCGGGATCATCAGCCGTGACCTCGGCCACAAGGACGAGGTGGGACATTTTCCTCTTCAGTTTGTTCTGGTGAAAGTGTGACATTGACTGGTATCACTTCAACTTCCTCTGGCTATGACATGTGACGCTATTCTTCAAAGACTAAACTTCTGTTTACCCAAAGTCCAGATATAAATGTCCTCTCAACAGCAACTAGAATTATGTTTCCATTGATTCTGAGGGAGGACTAACATGGGAGCACGAGAAAAAAATCGATAAAGCAGCACAAGAACAAACAGAGTGACAGATGTACTCGACTCACTCACCTGGGTGTCATTTGCCACAAAGCTGCGCTCCTCTAAAGTTTCAGTCAGTGCCCTCAGACAACGGGACATGTCCCAATACACAAAGTACAGCTGCAGAGAGACAAATACAAGAGCATTAGAGGCTGCAAAAGCAAAATTATTGAATTTGTTGTTCATTACTGATGTACTAGTTTTGTTCCAGACCACTAAATCACCACCCACGTCTCAGATTTTGGCTAGTTTTATTACAAGAACCTTTGTATTGATCACATAAAGCTCTTTACTCCTACATGATTAGTGGAGATGCACTCTAGTACGAGCCATGTATGGTATCATCGTCCCACAGGAGCAGGTTTGTTATTTTAGCATTTCTTTCAGTGCTCTTATGTCATCTTGCAAGTAAAATAGTTTTCAACAATTCCCTCAATTGCTGACAGATCTTGGTGAATTTTGTGCGAGCGAGCCCACAGAGTTCTAGCTTTTTTTTTGTTGCAAGCCCCTTTGGTCAATAAAACTGAATCCACTGCTCTTCACAAACTTACGTTGTGCAGACAGGCATTATTTAAACACACACAACTTTTATTTTACATTCTAGTAGAGATCTCAAACTTTGAAAAGAAGCCAAACATGTCAGAATAAATTTTGGGACTTTTTGATGTATGCCATAAAGCCACATTGGATTTAAATACTTTACTACTTTGCACTGTTTTGTCGACCCAATACACAGCTACTGGTGTGTATTTGCTTGGTCACTGTGGTGTTGTCCTGGCTGCAGATATGTCTTCTTACTTTTTGTATCATATAGTTGTCACCATAAATTTGCAGTGTCATCTTTGTGTTGCTTTCCCACACAATTAAAAGATGAAACTAAGACAACAGCAGGGCTGCACTAACGGCTATTTATCAGCCTGAACGGTTGGTGCACACATGGAGCCTCATGCTCTCACAGTTTCAGTAGATTTTAGAAGAATAACCTGCATGTTTCCAGTGCAGTTCTGCACCCAGTCGGCCACGGCCACCAGCAACTTGTGTTTCACCATCCTCTCATTCACCTGGATTAACCGAACATCTAAATTCATGTTGATCTGACACAAGAACACAAAAAGAAACACATTTTTTCACATTACCCTTCTTGTACAAATACTGTAGGAATATTCAAATAAACCCCCTTCAGAAGAACCCAAACTTAAATGTGAGACGAACATTTTTATGGTAAGAGACCGTCTTACCTCCTTGTTACTGTAATGGAGGATGAAGATGACGGCAGTGGTGAGGAAGATGGAGACCAGGCTGACAGAGAGACAAAGGACCCAGTAGTCACTGACAGGGATGTAGAGGTGGAGGGTGGAGAACACAGCGCACCACACCACCACATACAGCACCTGGTGGAGGCAGAGGAGCGGCTGTTAATATTAACCAGGATAGCAAAAATATAAAATATTCAGCTGGGAGCTATTAAAAAAACAGTTCTGCGTTTTGGGAATTTTTGGCATTCTTGCCAAGAGTTATATGAGAAGATTGATATGAATCTTATGTCTGTCCGTTAACTCCAGAGCAGGAGTAAGTTGGCTTATATTAAAAAGTGAAAGCAAAGGGCAAACGACTATCCTGGCTCTGTATACCAGCACCTCTAAAGCTCTAGGCAGGTGTTTTTTTTACCCCTGTCTTCTTGCATGTTAACTCAAAAGTGGTGCAAATGGCACAAGTTAAGCAATTTCAGCAAAGATCATAATGAGCAAAAAGCTCTCCCCTGATTTTACATACTGAGTTCAGTTTACTGATCATGTGGAGTACTACCCAGCTTTATAAAAACAGTATAATATCTTTTTATCGTTTTTGAGAAAATAACCCCCTGATATCATTAGAACTATCTTGGTTTAGGTTTAAAGACTTAAATTATTTAACAGAAAGCCTGCTTTACAAACAGGGCTCATGGAGTTTTTAAGACGTAGGAAGAGCTGTAGACAAGAAGAGTGTTATGTAAGATACTGTGCACTTGTGCTGTGCTAATTGTAGCAATTTTGCAGATTGACTCAAACTTGGGAATCCAAAATGATGGATAATCTTGGGCTTCCTGTGATCTGCATCTTGCAAGTTCCCAAACTTTATGGAAGCGAAAATCATTAGAGTACCCACCCGATGCAAACCAAAAACAGAAGTGTAAAAGCATGCAGGAGAAATGAAAGAAAAGCGGGGAGCCAGTTAATCCTGAAGAGGAATGGAGAGAGAGGGATATGTTTAGAGTAAATAGTTTAGTTTAGAAGAGCTGGAGGATCATACCGGTGCCAATATAAAATGGAAGAGAGCCGAGTTGAAAACCATGTATCTCCTCACTGAGGGAACGTCCAGAGCTGTCTTCAGTGGAGCCTCCATGTCTCTGACTGGAATCTAACAGGAAATAAACACAGATTAACATAAAGATATCTGAATCTTTGCAGCATGCCACAGTAGGCCATTTCAATGCTTGTATGTGTGCTGACCTGGAAGCCATCGTTCTCCAGTTTGGCACGGCACAGAGATAGATCAAAGCTGGGGTTTAACGCTGAACAGCTTGGGACTGCCAGAACACACTGACCTGAGATTGAGAGAGAGCAAGAGAGCAATCCATGACAGGATCATCATTACATAAACACCGAAACTAAGAAGAAAATTGAGGTATAAAATGAGAACTTAAAGCAACAGTGTGGTGCGTGGCAGCAGTGAAAAGCTGCTGTGCTGTCAAACACACTGAAAAAGAAAGTAAAAACAACGCAGAAACCCTCAGGGTAATCAAATATGAATAACCCCTTAAATGTCACTGACCCACAGAGGGCCAGTCAGCACAAACTCATGATGTTCAAAGGTTTCATTTATTACAAGTATGTAAGCTTCGACTACGAATTGCATATAAAATAACACATTTGATGGATCAGTGTTTTGGATTTAAACATTTCAATCACTGTAAACATTATATAACTTTAATGAACAAAGCTCATACAGAATGTATATGATACTGCCAGACAGTGTGGAATAAGATGATTGCTCTAATCTTAAAGTTACTTAAATGGAAATAATGCATGTTTATAAGTTAAACAATGTCTCATTCACATCTTTACATGTCTGTTCACTGGGATCTAAAGTATGTGAGCGTGACGCCGTGGTGACTATGTGGTGATAATCCTTCTTTAATGCTGTAGAAGAACGGGTACGGTATAGAGTAGGGTCGGTCATAAGGAAATCTCACTGATCTGTTATACTTTAGTGACATAAAGAAAAGTTTAACTGGGATTTTGAGTGGTGTATGTATTTAAAAACAGTATACAACAACACCACTTGGGCACAAATGGAACCCCATATGAATATTATACATTTAAATACAAAAATATGTAAGGTATGTTTTATCACTGGTAACCAAAAGCCCCTCCTGATCAAGTCATACAACACTCATAAGAAATGAATGAGTTCTCTGAAGTACAATTTATTAAATAAAAACAAATAAAGAAGCAGCTATTACCATTTGACCAGCTGGGTCTGTTGTTGTTGGCCTGAGGCTGAGCTTTGGTTTGTGTGATTTGAACGTCCACCTCACAGTCCACCATCACATGACCAAGTCCGTCATCCTCCATCATCTCAGAGGTATCTACACCTTTAAGAAGAAACATAGCTGTTAGATAACAGCAAATAACTCTACTAATCACTGCTGCCTTATTAGGAACAGAAAGTTTTAAAGTGGGCTTAAATAAGAAAATTTTATAATTTCTTATTAAGAATTTCTAAAAAACTGAAACTTCAGAAGTTCCTAAGATCCTGAAACCTGTCGCTTAAACATCCATGAAACTTTGAGTCAGAACAAAAGAGGATCCAGGTTTTCATGTGACAGCAGATGTGCATTACTCAGCACTTGTATTAGAAACAATTGACTCACAAATTGGGACATGACCTAAAGCCTGTAGTTGTTAGAAGTCTTAATAGCATTATTAACTCAGTCATTCTATTCATGTGACCGTGGCTGATACAGGAAGCTGACCCACCTATTATTTGGAAGTGGTCCTGTTTCGTGCAAATTGGGAGGAACACACCCCATCATTTGAAATGGTATACATTTACCTATCTGGAAGTTGTTCTTTTTCAGATTAACACAATGAATCCCAACCGGGGGTAGCCTAGACCTCAGGGGGTATTCTGCTGTTACCATGGTGGGGGTGGGTGTGTGTGGGAAGCTCGACGAATTAGCAAATTTCAATCAACCTGAGTCAGTTGTAACAAATTAAAATCATGTGTTGCAATCAAGAGTGTGTGAAAAGTAGTTAGCAAGTGAGCAGAGAAGTTTAAATAGTTAGCCAAAAGATAATGGATAAATGGTTAGAGTTTAAATAATGAGACTAAAAGTAATGAAAAGTTGAAACAGCTAATAGAATAAACAGCTGAAATGGTTAAAACAATGGAAAAACAGTTAAACTAGCTGTTTGTTAGCTAAATGTTAATGGATACACTGTTTCAATGTTTATAAAAGCAACCTAATGAATACATATTTCAGTATTTAAAGTTAAAATAATGGATGAACAGTTGAAATAGTCAGCAAACAGTGATGATGCTCAAAGTGTTAAGTAACATCCAGTTTATAATCCATTCATAAGACCAAGAGTACGGCTATTTGAGTTAATTTGATGAGGGGCACAAATGGTCAGGAACCACTGTCCTAACAGATAAACAACGATTAAACATGTCACACACGAAGAAGCAGAGCATTCATACCAGATGAGTGAGTCTTTCTGGAAAGGCCTTCAGATACTGTAAGCCAGAGCCTTTATCTGTGATAAACATGTTCATACAGTTTATTTTTAGGTGACCAATGAGAGTCGAAAAAGTCTCAAAACCTGCAGAAACCAGATCACTTCTGCTTTCGGCTGGGGTGGAAGAAGTGTTCAGATCTTTTAATGAAGTAACAGTACTGTAGAGATACCATAGTCTAAAAGTATAAAAGTATCATCAGCAAAACGTATTATTATACAAAAACACTTCTTTCTTTTAAATAATACATTCACAATATGTTTATGTGTAGCAAATTGTAGGTAATAGTTTAATAGTAAAACATATTTGTAAGCTCATAAGTTTTTGCATGTAAACTCTTAATCTGAAACGTAATACCTACAGATGTTAGATAAATGTAACTGAAAATGTGTAATGTTTCTCTCGGAAATGTCGTAGAAATATAAAGTAGCATGAAATACCTCAAAATTGTACTTAAGGACAGGGCTACTTATGGCTCAGGTTTGATTCTAGCCAGGGCCCTTCGCAGCATGTCATCCCCTCTCTCTCCCTCTCTCTCTCTCCTGCCTTTGCTGTCTCTCTCCTGCTGTCACTATCTAAATAAAGCAGAAATGCCATTTTAAAAAATGTACTTAATTATGGTGCTTGAGTAAATGCAATTACTTTCCACCACTGGCTTTCAGGGCTGATGGCCTTCACTGCAGTGAAGTGGTGCTGGTGTTACTGGATGAATTCAATGTAGAGGAGTAGATTTAAATGAATGTACATTTTTTTATGAGCCTTCAGAGTATCTGTATAGGCTACTGCAAGTAAAATGTCTTATCATGTTTTATCATGGCAGTGTAGCTCAGTCTGTCACTGTGATAGAGGATTAGAGGTATTTGTGCAGCTCAACAGGGACCTCCATAGGACAAAGACAAAGAAAGAAACAGATAAAAACTGAATAAATTCTATTTTTAGACAACACCAGGTCTCTCTTTCCAGCTCACACCCTTGCCTGCATGCCTGTGATGGAGCCACATTTCAGCACATAAGTGTGAAAACTCATTGCTGCGGTCGTAAATGTCAGTTTACCCCCACAGTCTAACCTCTTTCTCAGCCCTCTCTTTTTACACACACACTCTCTCTCTCTCTCTGCTGCTATCTTACTCTCTCGTTTTCGTTTTCACTTCCTTGCCTTTAAATAAAGTCAAACAAACTCTGGGACCAATTTATCATTTCCTGCTTACACTGCACCTGCTCAAGAATAAAACTGTTCACAAAGCAGAAGGCTGCATGCAAACACAGGCTGCATCTTCAGTGTTTCGCAACTACAGTAGATAGAGGAAACAGCAGTTATCTCGAGCTCATCAGTAAAGACTCAACACAGTCTCTTATCTTCGAATTGCACCTCGTCTGCTTCCATGTACATGTGAGTTGTGTTGAGCACTCCTGAACCTAATTTGTTAAAGTTATTTGGATTTCTCCTCCAGGTTGTGTCAATTTCAGAAGCTATATTTCTGTTTTTCTTTTGTTTTTGCATTTATAAGCCCTCGTTTTATATAAGGGTATGGGTAAAAGTTCATTTAAAAAGTTTGTATTCTTTCTGTGGCTGTGAAGCCAAACCAAAACCAAAATAAATGACCCAGAAAGTCCATATAACTTACATAATCAAACACATCTTACCTGTATTTTAGGTGAAAGTCCATCATGTCAACAAAGCTGTGGTCATTGTTTTCCCTTATTGCTCTTAGAGTAACATTTGTTCAGTAGATCCCTTGAAAGCAGCAATACATGTGTTAATGCGCATACAGCCGACGTTACTTTAACACTCATCTGTGTCTCAGCAGAGTTTCTTTCCTGCTTCTCTCTCTCTCTCTCT